CTGCTGTGACGTTAATATTCCTATATGATAATAAGTTTGTCGGTTTTGGAGCGTGTTTACGTGTAAGAATAGATTTCCATACTGTTTGACTTTCAAATAGAGTGACAGTCCACTCTGAAAGTGCATCATTTTCAATGCTTTCTTCTTGCTAAATGTCAGTGTCCTAGTTCACCTAGTTTCATCTAGTGATTTCATGGTTAAGTGATCACCACATTTGATTTAATTATACAGTCGACGTAGCGCATAGGTTTTTACCTGTCTGGACAGATTCCCAGACAGACTGATGTTACGAAAAACTAAAAGGAGGAGTTTCTATACCTAAATGCAGTGCAGTATCTTTGATTACACTAGATGAACAATTTATAAAAGCTTAGTAGTATATGTATCTGGTGTCAAAACCTAAAAAACGAGCTCAAAATCATTTTGAGCATTTGAAGTTTGTTACTTATTTCGAGTCCTTTTTGGCTTATTAGTTTATTCTATTTACAGAAGTGCAGTGAATACCGAAACATCTTGCCCTACTCACTTGGAAAAAAAATCGATTTTACTATCATGGATACGGCAGACCCAATGCCAGAAGGTTTAAGCAATGACCAGCTAAAAACATTGTCAAAGCAAGTTTTGGAGGATGGTTTAGATGAAATCTTACAACCTGTTTACGATGATGATGAAAACCGTAAGAGATTCATTGATGAGATAATTAGAATTGATGAGTCAACAAGAACACGCATTAATTGTTTGATTGATAAAACTATTAGAAAGACTAAAGAAGACTTCAGTGCAGCCTTGTCCGGCTTAAAATCGCATGGACCACATGCATACTTTACAATTACCATCAACATGAATGGCACCAATGTCAGAGGTGTCCAACAGCACCGCCGAGATCTGATTAAGATCATCCTTGGTAATCTTTTTGGAGTAGTGTTCTGTCAAGAATTGCCTGGGCGTTTTGAAAAAATGATTAAAGACTTGACGACTGAAAACAAGTGGGACTTTGTAAAAGTTAAAGTAAAAAAAATACAAGAAGCAGGTAAAGTAAAAAAAATACCAGGAGCAGCCGTGATATGGGACACAACGAAATTTAATGGCACCAAAGAAGGTTTCAAGCCAACAGATCCAAGAATGATGAAGATCGGAAAAGAGTTATTAAAAAAGGATACACTAGCAAGCAAGTACCTTCTCTATCGAGCTGCATTTGTGAAGTTAACGACAGTTGACTGAAGACAATATAAGCTTCATTGCAGTATCATATCATGGCAAAAAGAATGAGATTAAGTTTGAAGGTAGATATAAGATATTCGATTGTCTAATTGAATTTGTACAGCAACTGAGCCAAGAAGAAGGAGGTCTTCCTTTCCTTATTGGAGGCGATTTCAATTTTGACACGACCTTCCCTGAGAATTCTATTCCAGATAACATCACTTTTTCCGGTTATGAAATGACAGATCGTTCCGCCGAAAAAAGCCAAAAAATTCCCTACAAAGATAACTTGTTGGCACCATAAAATGGCAATCAAAGTGTGTAATATAAGGCCATTTGTTTTTGGTGGTGGAGAAAATTGTGACTTAAGTAGAGACGAGAGTTTTGAGGTAGAGAATCATCCTGATGCAGGCCAACACATAGCTAAAGTTGATAAACTGCTTGACCATGACCCAATTTTTGGAATACTGAAGCTGACGATGCCTGGAGGAGGAGGGGAAGGAGGAGGAGGAGGAGGAGGAGGAGGACGAGGAGGACGAGGAGGACGAGGAGGACGAGGAGGACGAGGAGGAGGAGGAGGAGGAGGAGAAGAAGAAGAAGAAGAAGAAGAAGAAGAAGAAGAAGAAGAAGAAGAAGAAGAAGAAGAACTAACCCAAACCTTCCACCAGGCATTATTTTTATCTACCTCAACGCCAAAGAAATAATTGAAGAACAGAAAGATCACAATAGTATAGTTTCTTCCTTGGAAACTTGTCATACGATGCCGAGTCTTTGAAATCATTCTATTAAGACAGCAATTCAAGTCAACTGCAACCTTTAGAATTATTTTCAAAAACCTACATCCAAAGAGTTTGCTTTCACCGACGCGAAATGAATAAAAACACTTAGTGTTGTGGTTAATTCAATGGGCTGATTCCACTTAGACTACTCTAATGTCAGAGTTTTATGCAAAGAGATACAAGAAGATCAAAAGTATTTGGATTCGCAGTATTCGATAATTTGGACTACCGTATGTATTCCAATGATGCGGAATCACGAAACGCTGCACTTGAGCTGATGAGTGAATCTTCTTCTCTATTAGATTAAAGTTTTAATTACTAAAAATGTAAAATATACAACTGAATATAAATATAATAGTTTCCTATACCATCATTTTTAATTTAGAATGTGACTTCAT